ATCCACTGAGCCAAACCGGTTTCGGCCACTGCTGTCTTTTTAAGAGCAGGAGTTTTAAATGTCGACGGTGGTGTAGCGGGGTGAGCCATTTAAATACCTAGTGGAAACGACTCCGGCTTGTTTGATGGCTGTTCCGTTTCTGGAGACTAATTCCGTGAAAACTGCTCTTCCAGCTGGTGGAGGTCAAGGGCCCCAACGACCGCCTTTCGCACAAGCAGATGGTCTGGCTGGACGAGCTGCAGAGGCTGGGGGCCGACGTCGAGGTCTGCCACGTCACGGCGGTCGGAGCCAAGAGCAGAGGCCTCCACTGAGCTGTGGGTGGGAGTCTCTGGTCACACGCGGGTCTGAGATTCTCAAAAGCATGAGTGGAATCAATTGCGTTTCCTTTTTATTTTGATGCCGTCAGCAATAAACCGGACGGTAAACTTGGTACTGGCTTGAGTACACACATTGATCCCGCACAGCAGGCCGTGAACTTTTGAAATGATGAAAACCTTAGTGGCCATTTTAGGATTGGAAACTTCTACATTGCAGAAAAAAAAAAGCCGAAAAAGAAACCACCACCAACAAATGAGCCCACTCACAGCTTTTATAGAAGCAGCCGGCACAGGGTTTCCTCTTTTATAACTACCCAAGAGCAGAAGCAGTGGAAATTGATTTCTTTAGCGATGAGAACACAGATTCTGAGAGCGTTCCTCAGTACATCGGCCAGTGCTCGCTCTTACTCATTGGCCCCACGTCGCCAAAGGACTGATCAGTCTTGATCAAGGGCAAGGGTCCCTTCCGTCCTTCCTGGGAGCATCCCTCGTGACCAGACGGGGGTCATTTTCTGTGCAGACAGAATCACAGAAGCCAGGCTGCTCAGCCACTGTGGGGAGCCGTAGGCTGGGGAAGGCAGGCCCAGGAGGCAGGGCTTGGGGTCCCGGTCCCCCCCAGAGTCGTCCTGGGACCGTAAGGGAATGTTCCTCCCAGCCTTTCCATTTATTAGAGGGAATGACATGGTCAGTACCTGCATGGCCTTCACTCAGCCAGCTCTGAAGTGACGTCAAAGGTGTCAGGGATCAGCCCTGGCCGGGTTGGCTCAGGGGATAGAGCGTCAGCCTGCGGACTGAAGGGTCCTAGGTTCGATTCCAGCTAAGGGCACATGGTCCCCAGTAGGGGGTGTGCAGGAGGCAGCCGATCAGTGATTCTCTCTCATCATTGGTGTTTCTCTCCTTCTCCCTTCCTCTCTGAAATCAAGCTTCTCAGGCCCAGAGCATGATTTTCCCAGGGGTCCTTCGTCACGTTTACAGGAACCAGATGAAAGCTAGGGGCCTTGCTGTGACATCCACCCTCCAGCACACACACACACACACACACACACACACACACACGCGTGCGCGCGCGCACAGACGGCTGGAAGGAAATGCCTTGGCTTCCGGAGCCACTGTTCTCAGAGATGACGTCACACTGAGGCCACGACCAGCAATTCTGTGTTTATTCGCAGTCGGAGCTCCCCTCACATTCATCCTGTTGAACAGGCCTCCCTTCCTGCTCCTCTGCTTCACCCCAAGTCAGTCCACTCCAGGCACAAAGGGGTGCACCTTCTCTACGTCCAGTTCAGCTGCTTGCGTCACGGCTACAGCAGGCCGGCCGCTGACGGGGGTGCTCGATGGTCCCACCCGTTCGCCCCGGTTAATATGCTTCTCTTAAATAAAGTTAGACATTTTTGGTTTTAACATTGGTTTCATCATGAAGTAACAGTAAGACATTGTACATCTCTAGGTTCCTACCAGAAGGTCCCAGCTGTGTGACAGCGCGACCCCGGCTTCGCACGCGGGCGAAAAACCACACTTTACACTTGATTATCATACAAACAGACGCACATTTCCTACCTGAAACAGTGTTAATAGTACCTAGTTGCTGTTTAAGTTGCAAATCAAAGCATGACTGAGGGAGTCGGGACACATGTGTGAAGGGGGAAAACGAGAGGTGGAAACCGGAGCCCTCGCCAGGGGACACGTCACGCTCTGTCCTTGTCAGGAAGCAGCTCCAGGACAGGGCCCAGTACGCGCCCATGGCAGGGCGTGCGCTGTCCCGCGGGCACTGGGGCGGCCTCCCAACGAGGACTGCGCCGTGTTTAACGGCAGTGACGGTTTATGTCCACGGAGAATAGCCCTTTTTCTCTAGGAAGCGAGCTGCAGGACAGTGGGCGTGTCCACACGAGTCTCCTAAGACACTGGAGGAACTTCTGTCCCTCTGATCCCAGACACGTTATCTAACAATTTATAGGAGGCAGGTAATTCAACAGAAACGCCTATTCGTGACGTAAAAGGTAAAAAGGCTTCTGAAAAAACCTGTTTTAGAAAAGGCTGTAAGCTAACCAGATGCTGGCCTGTAAAAATGTGTAACAGCTCAGGACGGCAGCTTTAACGAAGTAACAGCCAAACCTGGAAACATTCATCCTTCGAGGGAATGAGGGTGCTGGGGGCCTGGTGCCGACGTCCCCGCCAGCGGGAGCGGGGCTCTGACCACTGGGCTTTGGCTCTCGCGGGCGGGGGGGGGGGGGGTAGAGGCCTCTGGCCATTCACTAAAACAGCAGGATTCTGAGCAGAGCAGACATTTTCATTTCTCTTGCTCTCTGCCTTCTCCTCTAAGTGTTCACAAGCTTTGTCTGAAGCCTGGCTGGTGCGGCTCCGTGGATAGAGCGTTGGTCCCGGGTTCGATCCCAGTGAAGGGCACATGCCTGGCTTGCGGGCTCGATCCCCAGTGGGGGGCGGGGGGGTGCAGGAGGCAGCCGATCCATAATTTTCATCATTGATGTTT